CTGTGCTGTACAGAAATATTGAACTACGAGAACCAAATGAAGCAGAATCAGCAGGACAACATCTCTCTCTGGGTATAAAAGGAATCCAGTTCAAAGTCTGTCAATACAACTCAGCTATAGAAGTGATAGCTCTTGTAAAGCCCCAGAAAGTCATGAAATGAAACCAGGAAGGGGGGAGGGACACAATTTATTATATAAGCTAATTTGATAGTATACCGTTCAGCTATCAAAGAGTAAAATCAAAATAGCACTTTGCTGGGGCAATTCTGGAATGCAAGTGTATGTTTACAGTAAATAATCTGAGTAAGAAACCTTCATGACTCATGTGAAGCTTTGGCTTTTGGTATGAGGAGCACTGGAGAACAGAACAGAAGACCCCAGGCTATGAACAGAAGAAAGATGTTAATACATCTCAAAGCATACCTTTTATTTATATTTAAAATATTCTGGGAGAAAGATATTTATAATTTCACTTGCCAGCAAATACCATCATGTTAAGCTGCCTATCATTCAGTTAATTCAAATAAAATCAGGGAAAGTTCACTGCAATCCAAAATGCACATACAACTCCAATTAATAAGGAATTATTTTAAGAAAGCAAGTTTCCTGCCTGATCATTTATACTTTCCTTCTGTAATATGAAAAAAAAATTCTTACTAAACTACACTAAAGCTACAAACACTGCCATTCAAACCTTTGAAGAAGCATATTGCCTGTTTTCATTTTTTTCATTTTTCCCATTAACATGTTTCAAAGTCATAATAATTAAACCCCTAATATTGGAAGAAGTGTGAGTCATCTTAATTCAGATTTAATCCTAGATCTATCAAGACTTTTCTCCATACACAAGGATTTTTTTTTTGAAGTAGGGAAAACATTTTATTATCTAAATTTCTAATTAAGGAATCACATATATGATATTACTGGGGAAACTAGGGAAATGCATGCCTGTTGACTGGTTTAAAAGACTTTGAGTTTTAGAAAGAAACTTAATATTTGTTTGGGGGAAAATACCACACTCCAACATAGAACAGATAAATCTAATTCAGTTAATAAACTGCCATCAAATGCTACAGTAGTACTACTATTATTTTCTGCAGGAACTTGTTTAGGTTTCTTTCATTTACCTCATTTTGCTTAAATGCCAATACCTACCCACAAACATGTTTTGTTTATTTAAAGGTAATACTTACTACATTAAAAAGAAGTTACTTTGTACCAGCTACCAAATGCTGTAAAATATTTGTTTTTGTGTATGTGCTCAGAGAGATAGACAACCCTCAAGATGGAACTGTGTATTTTCTTGGCACAACTCAAAAACCCACAATGCTAACCAGCACTTTGCATAAAAGAATGTTAACATAACCTATCTGGCAAAGTGTCATTTTGACTCCCTATTTTATATATAGCCAGCTCTGAATATATAGACAGGGATTGTACAATTATACCTCTGCATGTTCCCAATGCCACATTTGAGAGAAACAGTTTTAGAAACTGATGCAGAAGGCAAATTAAAAACATTGGGAAGGAGAAACTAGGACCCATTTCAAAATATTTGTGGCAAAACATTAAAAGTGGTAGAATTCAAACAGTCTGGTTAAGCACTGGAATTATTGTAGTCAACCTTAAGTGAAATGTTTCAACAACCAACATAAAATTTAATGTCTCTGTATGTGTATGTGTACACACACACACAAATTTGGATTTAATATTTTCCTTACATTGGGGACAAAGTGGTTCCCTTACTAAAACACTCTGAAATGCCAAAAGAACTGTAGCCATATCATATTCAAATGCCTTTTGGACCTTGAACTTTCCCTCAATAACTCTCAAATCTTTTTCTTTAGGAAAAAAAAAGACTTCATCTTGAAATAGAAGGCCTCTCCATGCAAAAGGCTATGTTTTATTTTTTACCCAATGCAATTCACAGCATGCAAAAATTCTCAAGTTAAATTCCAGAAGTAATGGTTTTAGTCCCATCTAATATTCCAAATATATTTCTCATATTAAATGGCTCATTTTTCTAAACACAATACAAATCAAGGAAACCAGAAAAAGGATGCACTTTTTACCCATAGAAAAATAAAAGTACCGTAATGTTATTTCTTACACCTATGGTTTAGCCCAGGTTTGGCTCTTTTATGACTCGTGGACTTCAACTCCCAGAATTCCTGAGCCAGCCATGCTGAGGGGAAAGGGACAGTTTCCAAGCTGAGCCATGCTGGCTCAGGAATTCTGGGAGTTGGTCCATGAGTCATAAAAGAGCCATAACAGAGCCAAGGTTGCCTACCCCTGGTTTAGGCTTATAGTAGTTGATATTGTAAAGATTTCCCGTCCAGTCATGTCGGACTCTAGGGCGCAGTGCTCATTTCTGTTTCTTAGCTGAGAGAGCCAGCATTGTCCAAATATACTTCGGTGATCATGTGCAGGCATGACTATACACTGAGGTGCATAGAATGCTGTTACCTTTCCACTGAAATGGCACCTATATCTACTTGCATTTGCATTCTTTCTAACTGCTAGGTGGGCAGGAGCTGGAGTAAGTAATGGGAGCTCACCCTGTCAAGCAACCTAGACTGTCAGGTTTCTAGCTAATGAGCTCAGTGTCTTTAACCGTTGAGCCATCTTGTCCCCTTCCTTTATTTGGGGGCCACAATTTGCTGTCCCATTGTGACAAACAAATCTGCCTTTTGCTTCCACACAATAGAACTTTTATAATCATTATAACAGACAAGGAAGCTAATTGAGACAGAAAGAGGGGTGCAAACCCATAAAAGAATAATTCCATGGCTTTATGGAAGTAATCCAGTTCAATACTATTTACTTTTACTAATCCTTGAAATATTTATTGGAAGAATGGGTGGAAAATAAAGAATTAATAAAACTGAAAAAGTCTTTAAGGCTATTCACAGGCACAGTACATGTACGCACATCATAACAAACATAGCTATTAAAATAAATTTAATAATTTCACTACTTCACAGAAAACATTATTGAATTCCTAACCAGTACCAGAACTTCAAATATAGATGTATGTTCTTGCTTCTTCCTTCCTGATGTTCAAAGGAAAGAAGAAGAAAAGCATGATGTGATCTCGCTACTATTGTAATCTAATTTAATTCTGGGTTATGCTCACCAAGTGGACCCAAAGGTACTTTCTTTCAAAAGGTAATTGGATTTTCTTGTTTTGCTTGAAGATAGTCCAGTTGCCTTTTGAAAGAAAGCACCTTTGGGTCAACCATGACCTCGACAACTGAGAATCTCCATAGAAATTCACCAAGCGGACAATCAATGATGTTCTTCAGCTGTAGAAAAAGATGAAGATGCATGCTTCACCCTTTGGCCAATTTTACCCAGAAAATGCAAGATCCTGGGCACAGAGAATGCTCCTTTACCATAAAATGTCATAAATACTAATGTCAGTAAGTTGCTGTTAACAATAGTATAAACAGTACAGTTGTTAACATTCTTGAATGAGAAATCTATTGCCTATCCCAAATGATCTACTCTGGACTATAACGTATTTTTTAAATTATTATTCCATCTAAGCCAGGATACATCTTGAAAAAAAAAAGCAGATGCTTGAACTAGATACCACTGAAAGGCCCAAATATGAATCCTAAAAAAACACATGATTAAATAATATTAATGTTATGTGAAATATACAATAGTATATATACATATATATATATACCATAGCATATCAACTGGCAAAAATATTCAGAATAAAATGTTACATGCAATTTTTTGTCTGAGGATTTATTCTGCGTTTAAATGATCCTTTATGTGTTTAAGAGCAATATTTACAATAATTAACACATCTAGATTATATGGAGGGTAAGCAGAATATAAACATGTTGAAATAAACAAGTATACTGACATATCCAGGGTGTTATCCAATAAACACTTTTAAGAGTTCTGCTTATTTTAGAGTAGCAAAAAATACAAAAGTAATTCTTGTACAGAATTCAATCACAATTTACACAGTAAAGTTTTTCTTTGATAGTGACAATATACTTTTTTCTATCTTGAAAAAGCTTGAAGGGGATTCACACTAAATAATTCTTAATAAAAGATACTAAACTATAAAATTTTAGTGTAAATAAATATTAGATATTATTAAGCCAGTATCAGGTTAAGATAATTCTTGAGTTGTTTTAAACTTTCTACAAACTGCATGGAATAGAGCTATTATAAAGTACAATAAATTAGTTGACAAACTGTCATAAGATTTTTACCACCATAAAACTCACAAGCTGAGGATGTAATATCCATATTACTATCGCATTTTACTTAGGAAGCAAAAAGAGACACACATAGGACTCATCCAGTTCCTTAACAAGTAATTTTAGTACTACTAAATTACTAATACAATTATTACAATAACAATGATCAAAATAATAACAATATAAAACACCCACAGAAGCCTCAGAGCAAATACTTCTGGAGAAAAAATGGACTAGAAAACCCAGCCTTAGTCTCATTCAATAGGTTATCTCCACCTTTGTAACTGTTTGTGCCATTGCACTGACAAAACATTTCACTGGAAAACTTTCAAAGCACACTCCCATGAAGGAAATTGTCTACTATAAGTACACATGTGCCTAGTTTTCAACTTAAATCGGAGTGTGAGAAAAACTCCAAAACATCCTGTAAACCTCTCAGAATCACTTAAGTAAGATGGGAGATGTAAAAATGAGATGAGATAGGATGGATGGATGGATGGATGGATGGACGGATAGACAGAGATCCCTCAGACGCCTCTGACAAACAAGTTATTTACCAAGAGACATACCTTTGGCAGCCCTAGGTAAGCGCTTCCAAATAACCTCACCCCAAGTAAGTGATATAAAGGCTGCACCACAGCAATACAACCAGCGAGACATACATGCATATTATTGCCTCCGCTGTTTCTGCCGCTATTACTATTCAAAGTAGGACTCCAAAAAATGCTACCCCGAACCACCACTACGACCCCCTTCCTCTTCCTTGGCACTCACCCTTGGCCAGGCTCCAGGTGCCCATCCCAGTCAGAGTTATGGCCAAGGCCAAAGCCAGGGCCGGCCCCGACCACCACCGCGCGGGACGCATGGCGAGGAGGAGGAGGAGGAGGGGGAGGCGGCTGTGGGCTGCGCTGTCAGGAGCAGTCGAGACTCCGGGCCCGGTTCTGCGTCAGGCTCTGCAGGACCGCCGTTTGTGCTGCTGCCGTTCGGCGGGGCCTTCTCATACCCGCCAGCGAGGGCAAGAAGGAACCCGCCTCCTACCCGCGCCAGTCACCGTCTGACAGAAGCGCTGAACGGCGTTGTATGGGTCGGTCAATTGGTCTGTGGGTCCGTCGGCGGTGAACAAAACAGCCCCGCCGCGCCTCCTCCTGCAGCCAAGCGCGCCCAGCCGTGCGTGGCCTTTCCTCCGCCTTCCTTTCCCTCGCGGATCGCGGTGGACAAAAACAACGAAGCCTCCCACTGTAGCCAAAGCCACCCCCGCTAAACAAGCAGCAGCCGCGGTGGCGGCGGCGGCGGCGGACCGTAGGGCGGAGAAGCGAAGAGCAACGAGGCGCGGCGAAGGGCCGGGCCTGATGAGTCCTGGTCCTCCTCCTCCTCCTCCCCCTTCTCAACTATGAGCCGGGCAGCCCTGGAGACGCGAGGGAAAAAGCGGCTCCCGGAGCCCGGACGGGATGGCAGGCGACGGTGACAGTCGCGGGCAAGGAGAACATCCCGCGCACTTCTTCGAGGAGCTTCATCCCGTACTGGCATGCGAGGGAGGAGGGTTCATATTACATATATATGCACTGTATATATATATATGCAATACGTCTTTTTTTTTTTACCTTTTCGTCTTTTGACTGGACGGGTGCTGGGGGGGGGGCAATGAGGGATCATGAATTGACGTAAGGACTGCTCGATACAGGCAGCGCTGCGCCGCTCTCTTTTTTATGGCGGGTAGCGGACTTGTTTGGAGGCACTCGAGGGGTTGTTTATTAACTGGTTGATCGCCTCATTGATGAATAAATGTGGGCTTTTCCGTTGTAAGGCGAGCCATTGATTGCTGAGGGGGAGGCTGATCCGTGGAGCAGGAGTGGAGCGTTAATACGTACCTCATTGCTGATGGGAAATGAAGGACTAATTAAATAGGTATTCCTATGAATTGCTACTCTGATAAATAGCAGGGGCTAATGTTGAATACGAATTTAATCATACAGAGGCAGGTTAATTAGAGGTGTATTTAGAGACCAGCGAACGCATTGATAGGGCAGTAATTAACGAGCAGGGATTAAATTGGTAATTACAGAGAGGGAACAGCAAAGGGTGTGAAAACATATATTAATGGGATTGAGGGAATGGTCAAAAGGCTGGTTAAACCAGAACAGATTAAAACAAATCTAAGAGTTTATTAATTAAAAGGGAAAGAGAAACATTATTTTTAATAAGAATAGCATGAATAACACAAGCTAATTTGTATGGGAGAATTACATTTCTGAATCCAAAGAATATAATGGAAGATGCTATCAATTTCTTTAGGGATGTTCATGATACTAATTGTACATCCCCTTAAAACAGGTTCCCAACCAGGGGTGCAAAAACTTGGGTTTTTAAAATTATAGTGTATATGCATAATTCGTTGCTGTTATTTCGAATTTTTGTAAGGGGTGCAAGAATATATCAGAAGCGTTCTAGCGGTGCGGGGTATAGAAAAGGTTGGGAGCCGCTGCCTTAGAAAGAAAAGCAATAAGATAGGGATTTTGTTCGTTTGTTTACTTTTATCTTTTGTCCATATTTGAAACTAGCCACTACTCTGCAATCTCTCCCTTAAATTAATGCTACATTTTATAAATTCAAATAGAGTGGAAATAATAGGAAGTTCCTCCCCAAACATGTTGCCAATTTGTCTCTTAAAAAAACTTTCTTGACACTTACCTTTTGCATTCCTAATTATTGAGATTAAATTCCCATTAACTGAAATCAATAAATGACATGATTCCTATTGCTGAAGTGCTATTATATTTCATCCACCTTGCCCTAATAATTAGTTTGTTGAGCAACTGTCCTCATGGCTCTTGAATGTTAAGGCTAGATGCCCAGGTACTAATGTTTGGGGATGCTAGTACTCTAATATTTCCTCTAATTTTAGTAAGGATATCCACTAAACTTTGACCTAAAGATGTTAGAAATTCTCACACACATTTCCAGGACAACATTTTGAAATTAATTGAGGATTTACTGATGAAATTTCATAATTTGTTTATTTAAAGAAACCTAATCTGACCGTTTTTCTGCTATACCCTGCCTTTCCAACTCATCAACCATTTTGACCATATTGATCCCCTTCTCTCTATGTTCATTTTATGACAGAATATTGGCTCTTCTTTTCTCTGAATTGACTTCATCTGAAATTGAATCTCCTGAGGGGCTGACTATGGCTTTTAATTTTGCCATTTGATCCATGCTTGATCTTTGGATTCCATCCTTTAAAAAGTCAGCCTGAAAAAATAATTCTCATCCATGGTTGACACCAAACTTTTAAAATTTTCAAATTCATGTTGATAAAGTAGAGCAGAAAAATAGAAAATACTTATCTGCTGACAATAGTGATTCCTTTCATAAAGCTGTTACTCATTTTTTGCACTACTGGAATAAGCCAAAATTTCATATCTATTCAAACCAAGTCCCCTTGATATTTTTTGCTATGTCTTGGCCTCTTATATTTATTACATATTGCTATTTAAAGTTACTCTTCATTTAATGCAATGATTTCAGAAGAAATTAAGCACTCTAGGCTTCCATCCTTTCCAAGACTTACTTGCTGTTTCTGATACCCCAGATTTTTCTAGGTTTTTTGTTTTCTTCAGTTATTGAATATATGGTAACCCAATAAGTTTCAGAAGTTATTTGAATCTTTTTTCTTCTTTCCCTTTAATAACTCTTCTTCCTTTTCTGGCATTCTTAACTAGACTTGTTCTCGTATGACAGACATTTTTCTAGATTCTCTGAAATGTACCTACCTTCATAATCTTTTAAAATCTCTTCATGTGAGGCTTTGATTTGTTGGATTTCTTATCCAATATCTTCTGTTTTATTTTGTCCTAGATTTCAGGTGAGTTGTCCTTTCTTGGTTCTTATTTATCTATCAGAAAAGAATCTCATTGGCCCATTTCAAGCAGAATTTTATGCAGGTCACATTACTGAGTCAGCACTGGTTTGGGCTGTCAAGTTATTAGTGGTGACCACAAGAACAAAAGCAGCACTTTAAAATAAAATGAAAAAAATTGGAAGCAAAGATTTTTTTTAATAACAGGAAAAAGAAATAAAAGACAAACTTCTAAGTAGTCTGATCTTGGACTATTTTTAGTCTACTGGAGGCTAAACCTTACAAGAACGGTTGCTGGAATTGGGTATGTCTAGTTTAATGAAGAGAAGGAAGAGGAAGGACAGGATAGCAGTGTTCCAATATCTCAGGGGCTGCCACAAAGAAGAGGGAGTCAAGCTATTCTCCAAAGCACCTGAAGGCAGGACAAGAAGCAATGGATGGAAACTAATCAAGGAGAGAAGCAGCCTAGAACTAAGGAGAAATTTCTGGACAGTTAGAACAATTAACCAGTGGAACAACCTGCCTCCAGAAGCGATGAATGCTGCAACACTGAAAGTCTTTAAGAAGAGACTGGACAGCCATTTGTCTGAAATGGTATAGGGTTTCCTACCTGAGTAGGGGGTTGGACTAGATGACCTCCAAGGTCCCTTCCAACTTTATTATTATTATTATTATGGATCATCGCACAGTCAGCCAGATGTTCAGACTGGATTTGGCATTTTGTCTACCTTTCGAGTCCTTACCCAGGACCTGGGATAGGCAGATGTGGATGTTTGATGGTATTACAGATATCGTCGCAGGATGGAAACAGTTCCTAGTAAGGGCGCCTTTTGCAATTGACTAATAACAAATTTGTCAATGCCAATGGTGTTCAAGTGGTGCTCCAGTTGTTTTGGGATTGCACCCAAGGCGCCTATGACTATTGGTACTACCCTTGCTTGCTTTTGCCACAGTCTTTCTATTTCTATTTGTAGGTCTTTGTATTTTGTTATCTTCTCCAGTTCTTTCTCTTCTATTCTGCTGTCTCCAGACACTGCCACGTTCACTATCCAGACTTTTTTGTCTTTCTTATCGACAATTGTTAAGTCTGGGATGTTATGTTGCAGGTTTTATTACTATTATTATTATTATTATTATTTACAGAACTTGTCAAATACCTGATGACAAGCATGTTCTCATTTGTCTTCCAAAAGTGGACATCTGAACTTCTTTGGCAAAACCTGAAAAATTAAGGAGTTATCACTGTGAAGGGACTATGAGCAGAGCCTTCCTAGCTGACCATACTGCATACATTGGATGGTGTTCAGAAAGGCCTTTTCTGAAATACAGATAGTCTGCAACGTACAACCACAGTTGAGCCCAAAATTTCCATTGTTAAGCAAGGCAGTGGTTAAGTGAGTTATGCCCCATTTTATGATCTTTTTTGCCACAGTTGCTAAATGAATCAGTGCAGTTGTTAAGTGGTCGTTAAACTAATCTGGCTTTCCCCATTGACTTCACTTGTGGGAAGGTGGTTGGGAAAGTTGCAAATAGTGATCACATAACCCAGAGCAGTACATCTCTCATAAATATATCTCAGTTGCCAGGCATCAAATTTTGATTATGTGACCAAGGGGATGCTGCAACAGTCATGTAAAAACCAGGCATAAGTCACTTTTTCAGTGCTATTGTAACTTTAGTCATTAAACAAATGGTTGTAAGTTGAGGACTCTGTACTTGGTCTAGATCCTTTAGGCTTTACAGACTAATATCCACATCTTGAATGGGCCTGGTAGCCCACAGGCAACTAGTATAGTACTCTCAAAATTAGTGTTAAAGACAAAACTGTCACAATAATGAGGTTAAACTCTGGTAGGTTTAGTGCATTTATTTTAGGATTTTAAAAACTATCCATCCAAGTACCATACCCTTTGGTCAATGTATCTTCTACAATCCTTGAAGGCCATTTTTTTTAGAGGGAGAGAATATCTATCTTCCAGCCAAAAAAAGTTGAACATTTTTGTACTGATTTATAAATCAAGATTTACAAACTACAGTGGCAACAGTTGCAGTATTCATTTGACATACTAAGTCAAAAACAAACCAGCTGCCCATTATTGTATATAACAGTATCCTTAGATATTTATGCTCCTTTCAGTATGTTGTAATATATTTTTGGCAACTAATGGAAACAGTTGCCATGTATTTATTTTTCTACTTCTGTATTCACATTTGTAGGCCAGAACATGATGATTCGTTAAGTGATGTGTTTTGTTCAAATTCTTAAGAGTATCAGTTTGAATAGTACACTGTCAGCCAAGAACAGGGGTGTGAGAGAACAACTCCCAAAGTTTAGCTGATACAAGTGGCATTAAAGCACATAAAAAAGAACATATAAAACTATCACCATGACCTTTACTGACCTAGGCAGGAAGACCCTTCAGGATCAGGTGGCATTCTCATCCACCTTTCCAGTCACAGGAACAAGAAATAATGCTACAAATTGATGGCTGATTCTATTGTATCGGTGGGAGAGATCAGTGAGAGAGAAACTATGGACCAATCAGCCTGACATCAATATGTAGGAAAATCCTGGAAAAGGCAAACAAGCAGCAGGTTTGTGAGCACCTAGAAATGAACAAGGTGATTACTAGAAACCAGCATGGTTTATTAAGAATAGGTGATGCAAAACAAATCTTATTGCCTTCTTTGATAAAGGGACTAAATTAGTGGATCAAGGAAATGCTGTGGATATAGCATTCTTGGATATCTGTGAGGCTTTTGATAAAAGCAGAGCACAGCCTACTTTTTGGTAAGATAGAACAATGTGGAATAAACAGTACCACTATAAGATGAATTTGCAGTTGGCTAACCAATTCTTGAGGGAGATGGGTGGTTAATAAACCAACCAACCAAATGTATTCAGTGTGTGGTCCTTAATGGAATTACATCTATGTGGAGGGAAGCATACAGTGGAGTTCCTCAAGGTTCTGTCCTCAGTGCAGTGCTCTTCAACATCTTCATAAATGACCTAGATGAGAAGATTGAAGGGGTGCTCATCAAATTTGCAGATGACATAGAGCTAGGGAGAATTGCTAGCACTTTTGAACATATACTTAAGATTCAGAAGGATCTTGACAACGTTAACTACTAGTCAACAAGATGCAGTCAGTGATGAGAAATAGTCCTCCATTTAGGCATGAAAAATAAGTAAAATAATAATAATAATAATTAATAATAATAATGTTGGAAGGTACATTGGACATCATCTAGTCCAACCTCCTGCTCAGGCAGGAAGCCCTATACCATTTCAGACAAATGGCTGTCCAGTCTCTTCTTAAAAACTTCCAGTGTTGGAGCATTCACCGCTTCTGGAGGCAGGTTGTTCCACTGGTTAATTGTTCTAACTGTCAGGAAGTTTCTCCTTAGTTCTAGGTTGCTTCTCTCCTTGATTAGTTTCCATCCTTTGCTTCTTGTCCTGCCTTCAGGCGCTTTGGAGAATAGCTTGACTCCCTCTTCTTTGTCATGTCCCTCCTGGTCCTTCTCTTCATTAAACTAGACATACCCAATTCCAGCAACCGTTCCTTGTATGTTTTAGCCTCCAGTCCCCTGATCATCTTTTTTGCTCTTCTCTGTACTCTACTAGAATCTCAACATATTTTTTACATTGTGGTGACCAAAACTGGATGCAGTATTCCAAGTGTGGCCTTACCAAGGCATTGTAGAGTGGTATTAATACTTCACGTGATCTTGATTCTATCCCTCTGTTAATGCAGCCTAGCACTGTGTTGGCTTTTTTGGCAGCTGCAGCACACTGCTGGCTCATATCTAAGTGATTGTCCGCTAGGAGTTCAAGATCCCTCTCACAGTTACTACTATTGAGCAAGCTACCCCCTATACTATACCTGTACATTTGGTTTTTCTTGCCTAAATGTAGAACTTTTTTCACCATTGAATTTCATTTTGATAGCGCCCAGTGTTCAAGTCTGTCAGGTGCAAAAGTACATAATAGGCAGTAATTGGTTGAACAATAAAGTCAATGAGAAAGATTTAGGTGTCCTAGTGGACTTTGCTTAATTATGAATCAGCAGTGTGCTGCAGCTACCTAAAAGGCTGCTTTATCCTGGGCTGCATCAATCGAGGGATAGTATCAGGGTCAAGGTAAATGAGAGTACTGGTCTATTTGGCATTAGTGAGACCACAGAGAATTTCTCCTTATTTCCAGGTTGAATCTCCCTGAGGAGCTTTTATTCATTGCTTCTTATTCTAGCCTCAGGTGCTATGGAGAATAAGTCAACACCATCCCCTCAGTCTTTGTTAAGGTAAACATACTTATTTCTTTTATCCATTCTTCATAGGAATTAGCCTCCAGCCACCCTCTTACCATATTTGTTGCTCTTTTCACTTTTTCTAGGGCCTCAGCATCTTTTTTGTATTGTGACCAGAACTGGATGCAGTATTTCCTGACAGTGAGAATGATATTAAGCAATGGAACAGCTTGCCTCCTGGAATTTGGGTGCTCCATCACTTGGAGGCTTTCAAAAAAAGATTGGACAACCATTTTGTCTGAGATGGAATGAGGACCTCTGCCTCTGGCAGGGAGTTAGCCTAAGACCTTGGAAGTCCTTCCAACACTGTGATCCTATATTTGTTTCTGGAGTCATGGTCTGAATTATCTGGATGTTGAACCGCTGACATGAAATCAGTTGCACTTCACAGAGTAGTAAATTGTGTTTAGCTGAAATATGATAACCTTTAATAAGATTTCAAACTGAATCCTAAGGTCTAATATAAAGACCTCAGATAATAGTTTCTACACTTTAGAGGAAAACAAGAATAGTGCTGTATTTTCATCTAACGAAGTATTGAAAAATCAGAATGAACACTGGCAGAGTTTATAACTTTTATTTGACTATCCAATAATGCTCAGAGTATGAGAAAAAATATGAATGTCAGTTATTAGCATACAAAGGCAAAATAAGAATTGCAGCAGAAACCAGCAGCTAAAATATACAAGTTCTTTATAATAAACAGAAGAATTAGAAAAGAGTTGTTGCCTGTCCATTTAAGAACATGTGGTTCTTAAATTTCCTAATTTGTCTTGATAGTGTAATTTTATTTCAGATGGCAAAGGAAAACAGCAAAAGATAAATAATCTTCTTTGTGTATTCCGTATGGGAAATGTAGACAAAATCATAATGAATTTTAAGGGAAATTAAAGCTGAATAGAGTGGAGTGTGCACCTCGGATTTAATTTTTTTAAAAAATATTCAGAGCACCAATTGTAGGACTCCTAGACCTGGTCCATCAATCCCAGGGCCAGGACATATAGCATTTGAGATTTTGAATGAATCTTAGAAAAAGAACAATTCAATAGCATACGCTGACTAGACAGTTAGCGAAAATGGTAGGGCATCCCTTTATTGACTAAATTCAAGCAAAGACTAGAAAGCCAGGTTGCTTCGATTTGGATTCTTGAATGGACCAAGGTAGTTGGATTCAATGACCAAATGATTCATACAATCAGAATTGGCAGAGTCATTTAGGCAATCAATTCCTCACCCCCCTGCCTTAGTGCAGGAATCCAAAATAAAGTATTCCCAATAGCTATCTAATCTCTGTCTGAACATATACATTGAAAGAGCCCCTGCCATTTTTAGTTATTGAGCAGCTTTTACTTTCAACTCTGATTCTACAACAAGGAATATCATTTAGATGGGTTAAATTTTTCTTGTTTCTTATAGCATGAATTGAGATTAGCTTTAGTAATCTCAATCCCCTAGAAAATTTAGCACATGAGAAAGAACTTATTTTTGTCAAGTGCTTAGGTCTAGGAATCAGCCTAAGTACCATGATACCTGAATTTCCATCATACGATTTCTCCCCCCCCCCTTTTCTAAAACAGCCCCATTATCCATCAAGCTGACCACCATCCTTGAGATTTGACACTGTCAGCCGTTCCCACTGTGACTAAGCTCACACAAAACAACTATTTGCACAAATTGTGTTCAAGATAACACACAATACAATTGTTGGGAGGCACTAGCAATTGAATTTATGCATGAAACTGATTCATTTCATCGCTATTGAAGTCCCATGTGGCGAGATGTAATGGGCTGTCTTGGCAGCAAGGAAGGAAGAAAGCAATTCCCATTCCAGGCCCACCCTCATTTAATAACCAAAATTTCCCCTTGGTTAGTGCGAGTTCATTTTTTCAGTGCAACTGCTAAATCATACAACGTGCTTTTGAGATTTCCCTCTTTTCTTTTTCTTTTGATTTATATCCTTTTTCCCCACCAATATAAGAGAGTTTTGTTCTTATTGAATGCCTGACTTCACCCATTTAATCAGGAATCTGATATATGCAAAACATCCTTTTGCTTGCTGCAGAGTTCAAGAATTCAACACATTTCACCTTTACAACCATAGTGCAAAATTACCAGATTAAATCTGGGGAGGTTAGTTGGATTCCCACAAATAATCTCATTCAAGATAATGAAACATGATGGGTGGGCTTTCCAAAGACTTGATTTTCTTACAGTATTGGGGCAAGGATACTTCCAAAAAAGATATAGCAATATTGATGTTCCCAGTTTTGTATTTTATCTGACATCCACTTTCTAAATCTAACTTCCTAAACCAGAGGATATCCTTATCTCTCACTAGTTCTATAACTGAAAGCTTGGAACATCATGTTTCTTTGCTCCCCAAACTCCTGGAAAGTACTGAATCTGGAAACATGTACACATCTGCATCATCTTTCAACTTTATTCTTCCTAGCTATTGATAGGAAGCAGCAGGAAGACTGGAGATCCTGTCATTTTATATAAGAAAGAAAATCTTTTCAAAAGCTTCTTTGGTTAAGACAGGAAATATCAGATCTTCTACTGTGACCTTAATAGCAAATATGGAAATGGCAAAACCAAGTTGCCAAAGCAAACAAAGTTTTGGAGAATCATCACACAGCAGTGGAGCACATGGTGGCATAGAGGTTTCATGATCAGTCCCTGATAGGTAATGGTGATTGACCTGCAGGCCTAGGGCTCTGTTACCAAACTTTGCCATTTTAAGAGGTGTGGACTTGAACTCCCAGAATAACCCAGCCAGCATTTACACAGCAGAAGGGATGGGTATGTTACATTTCTGGCTAGGGTTTTAAAATGACTAAGTTTGGTAAGAATTGCCAGTCAAGATACATAGACTTTTATTAATCTAAATGTATTGGCTACCCAAGGACAGTGGACCAAGATTTGATCTGGCATCAGACAGGTTATTTTATCTCAGCGAAGGACAAAAGTTACATTCTCATCCAACAGTTTGACATTTCCATGATCTTACCATATGTTTATGACACTAGGAAAGTACCAAAGCTCTCTCCTCAAGGTTTGCAGGGCTCAGCCTTTACCTCAAAGAGCCTCTTGCACGCAACTTACAAGAGAATACATCAGAATAACAACAATTTATAATGTGCAAGTTGTAACATGGAGGTTGACAATGCAACAAACATACAGGCAATTCGGGTTAACTCCCAGCCTCATCTACAGCTTAATGAGCCGATTCCAAGTCAGCACTTTTCAACTGGGGAGGTAAGGGGTAGGAAATGGGGGGAAGAGGCTCAGAAATTACAGCAGCAGCAGCAGCTTCTGTGTGAGCAGCAAAGGTGGTGACACTCCTCTCCCTGAAGGGATTACACTTTTTTGTGCCTATCCCTTCTGCTGTGTAAATGCCAAGTTAAAATGCTGAGGCCCAACTGGGGGAGTTGCTGTTTCCTACAGATTATTAACCACACTGCTGGTGCGGTAGTTTCAGGATGGTTGTTAATGGAAAGTGCCCATAAAATACCTCCACCCACCCACTTCCTTGCTCTCTCTACCATTTCTCTGGAATGTGCAGAGGAATAACATCCACAGTCCAGCCGACTATGAATTAATTCATACTCAAGCTTACCTCTATGTTCAGATGAGGCCCACTCTATCTTCAATTGAATTCTTCCCTTACGGCCTTGTTCTGACTCAATATATCAAATGAATAAAAGGGAATGCTGTCCTCAGCCTTACACTGCTGCAGTGTAAGTTTAGAGGTCTAAACTTCCATGAAGCACGACTCACTTCAAAGAGTCACTATTGCCACACTTTTATTCTTCAAGGTCACATAACTGCCAATCACCCTGGAATGAATGTCTACCTAACCATCTCCCCCAGAGTAAGTAATCCCCAGGGGATACTAGCAAACTTGCATGTGAAATATATTCATGAAGGACTATTTTATTATTCCAAAGCAAAGAAAATTGGGAAAGCTTCTATAACCCTGGGTTGTTGTATGCTAACGAGTACTTTGTCAATGAACCTGATGACCAAAGCAATATTGTTGAGATGATCTGTGAAAGGAAAATAATTAAGAACAGCTAAGTATTACCTCCCCCCCCCATCCAACCTCAGTAGGTGAAGTCATATTCTATTTTAATGAGATTTCAATTCACCTACTTTGCTCCTCACCAGCAGCAAGGAGAGTCTTTGTTGACTTATAATTCAGGAATGGAAAACTTTTGCTAACCAAAAGATTTGTTACTATTTTGCCCCCACAGTGGGTCACCAAATTCCTTGGGGGATTATTTGCTTATGAATAGGTATGTTAAGTTCAGAAGCCCCACTTCTATTGTTATTTAAAACACTCGGGGGGGGGGGCTGTAGGCCATACAAAGAGGAACTTCTGGGCTGTTGCATATGTCCCATAGGTTGCTTAATCCTGCTATAATAATGCAGAAGAAGCTTTCCTATTGAGTCTTTCAAGCAGGAGGAAAACATTTTAGCTCAGATTCTATGAGAATCTGCAACAGAGCTAGTATCCCATTAAGCATTTTCACCAAATTACAAAAGCCCAGCAAGGTTTGATGGGTTAAATGAAAAAGATAAAATAAGATAAGGTGCCAAGCTGCTGCTGACACCAGCCCAGAAATCATCTTAGTTTGGGGAAGATTCTAATGAACAGGATCATGCTGATGAAAATGAAACAGACAATGATCAACATTAGCCAGAGAAGCCAGTTGACAGATTTCTTGGCATGCTGCTCCAGGCGATCCGATTCAGACTTTAGTTTCTCAAAGTTCTGGTCAGCCAGCTTGAGTGACTGCGTCAAGGTCTGAAACAAACAATAAAGTGTCACTGCTTTGAAAACCAGCAAAATGCAGGCAGGTGCAGGAAAAGGCACAAAATGCTACTTTATTCCACATTACATCATTGGACAAACTCAACAAAAAATGCTTTTTCAGCAAAGGGGCAACTTGTAGTGCTCAAGTGCCATGCCAACAAGTGCTATTTCGCCCTCCCCTAATACTTTGACAAGGACAAGCGCTTTCTCAAAATCAGACACAATTACAAAATAGCTGTATAGAGTTCACAGTTGTGGGGAGGGGGTTAGGACGTACCTGGTTATCTTGCTTAATCACATTCTGTGCTACAAGAGTGTTGTTCTTGAGATTGCGCGCCAGGTGCAACATCTCTTCAGCTAATTTCTCCTGGATGTTGTGATGAGTCTGCAGGACCGCATCCAGTTCGGCAGCTGACTGCTTCTCGTCAGGAAGTGGAGTCCTATGGGGAGAAAGATCTCCTTATTGATACACACTTTAAAAAAACTGACCTATATACAATTGGTACCAATTGTGTATACTCAGATGTTTTATAAAAGGTCCAGAATACAAGAAAGAAGATATTAAATGCCCATGTCAGGTGAAAAGAAAAGCTACATTACGAATACAATATCTATGTATGGCCATTCAATGCAACTGCATTCCTATTTGCATGTTGAAGCGGGATACTCAAAAATATCTTCCATATACCACTGAAACTCTCGTTGTCATGACCTTTAACTGGGTGAAATGGTAGATCATAAGGTAACTGTTTTTGAATCTATTTTTGGGCTAATTTACAGAATGTGCCCCAAATCCAGGACTTTCCCAAAGTTGTGGCTCTTTCGGGGCTACTAACTGCTGTGGTCACAGTTTCCCAGCCAATCTTGCAATTCCTTGCTCCCTCCTCCACCCAACAGTAGCTAACTATCAGAAGGGAAGGGAAGGGAAGGGAAGATTTTGGATACTATCAGATTCCTACAAGGAAATTCAATGGGAAATCCAGCAAGGTCAGCAGTTCCGCCTTCCCCCTCTGCTTTTTTGCTCGTCCTTGGTCATTCTGTTTTTCTCTTAGGTAAAGTAGTGAGGGTGTCCAGAGAGAAGCATTTATCTTTATATTCCACAACACAAGGTATAATGTAATTGCAAGCAGGTGATCACATACCCAAGGGAACACAGATTCCTTCCAAAACTGGAGATGGCAAAATTTTTCAGGAACAGAACTTTTCCATCTCCCAACAGAAATAAGACAAAGCCAGGCTTGTGTTTCTCATGAAACCATGGAACTAAGCGGCTGTATATAGTTTATTTTGAACTCTAGGCAGGGCAAAATTATTCTTAAGTATTACCCTTTTTCTCTTACCAATTTCCATTTCCCTGAAACTTCAAGATATTTATATAGTCTGAACAAAATGATTGCGACTCTTCCTTCCCCAATCCCCTTTCCTTTAAACTGCCAAATACTCACATGCGTTTCCTTAAATTTTTCTCTTCCAAATCTGTGGAAGGAAATATATGTATATTTATACATACGCAATGCTATATTTATATCTATAAGCAATGAACAAATGCTCTTGTCCTGGAAATCAGTTTCTCTAGTAAATCTTAAAAATATGTATTGATGCAAAGATACAAACAGAAATTATACATTTTTATGCATAAGGGGGAAGCCAGCAGTAAGGAAGAAAAAGGCAAGCTGACAGCGAATCAGAGGTGAGGAGGGCATATAATTTAAAATGACATTTTCCCAGTATTTGCTGATGGGCAATGCAGCAGGCATATCTGGCTTCCTGGTTATACGCAGGAATTTTCAGGACAATCAGATAGGCATAATGATCCATTGGGAATTCCCGGTGCTATAGTCCCAGATGAGAAATCAGTGGGAAATCTAATGAAGTAGGATATAAATAATCATGTATTATATTGCAGAATACTAGGGAGTTTAAATATTTTATCCTGCAGCCTCCAGAGTCCTTGCATATCCCACATGATCAGTAAACACTTACCATTGATATAGGAAGGGTCCTAGGAAAGCAGAAAGAGAGGAGAAATAAAGAGTTCAGTAATAAATGGCATAAGAAGGGTCTTTGCAATTTTGAATCTCTTGACCTCTGCCAAATAACCTCAGGTGACTCTAGTCTAGACCCATAAAGTAAGAGTAAGGTACCACTTCATCCTATAGCTCAAGAGCCAACTAGCTCCACCTAAATCAGGGGTTCTCAACCTTGGCAACTTTAAGACTTGTGGACTTCAACTCCCAGCTGGCTGAGGAATTCTGGGAGTTGAAGTCCACAAGTCTTAAAGTTGCCAAGGTTGAGAACCCCTGACCTAAATCAAGAGACCAAGGTCCCTCAGTTAATTATTTGACCTTGATATAAAAGATATTACACACACACACACACACACAAAAAGCAAATAGGGAAAAAGGAGGAGGGGAGAGGCAGAGAAAGTTGGGATGAAGAAAGCAGTACTACAGAGACTTGGACAAATGCCCAGAAGCAAAAATTAAAGAGGAACTGTTTTACGAGATGTGATTGTAGTGTTGGCTAAGAAGACATACTGTACCAAGCAGCTCATTTCTCATCTCGCCCATAAAGCGGGCCTTGGTCTGTAGATGCACGGTTTTCGTTGCTGGAGTTCGCTCCTTGGCAGTGGTAGGAGTTCTCCCGGGAGCCAAAAACTGATTTGCCAGCGCCTTCTCAGAAGATGATGACTGGGAAAAATTGAAAGCAAAAGGCACCTAATGATTGACCTCTCCCAACAGAGGGTCATTTCAGCAGGGGTTCTCGAAAAAGGTTAAAAAAGAAAAAACCACAAGGGAGGACCTTACCAATTTCTCTGCTTCTAGCAAGCCCTTTAAAAAATCCACCTTACGAGAATATTCATTCAGTACTTCAGGAGCTGGTTTGCTGAAAGGGAATCACAAAGCTGAGACAAGAACTATACAGAAAAATGCTCCTCATACATGTCTATGGAGATTCTCAATCATCCAGGTCACAGTTGTCCCAAAGGCACTTTCTCAAGAGGCAACTGGACCTTGTTTTTTTCCTTGAAGACGTTTCGTTTTTCATCCGAGAAGCTTCTTGGATGAGAAGCGAAACGTCTTCAAGGAAAAAACAAAGGAAGTCCAGTTACCTATTCAGAAAGCATCTTTGAGGCTCCTCATGCATCTTCCTCTCTTTTATCGTCCTCGTGAAGTGGAGAAGGCCACCAGGGTTAGCTGGGAAGGTCTAACAAGAAGTGGAACTAAGATATGGCTCAATTCAACAGCAACAATAGCAAAATAAAAAAGCCCAGAAAAATAATATTCTATATATTTGTGGCTTCGCACTCCATCTCCTTACCCGCATTGCCAATAGTCAGGGATGATGGGAATTTAAGCTGTACATCTCCCATCTATGATACAGTGATTCAGGATTGTCCTTAGAGGCAATGAACAATTGCCACTAATTCCTGTTCTATATTGTCATTTTCTGGCTCATTTCCTATACCAGGTTCATTTCCAAGAATCTTTTGCAATATATGGCACATAGAAGCTAGAGGCTAGACGTGAAATCTGATTACTACTTTGTGCTTGCCAAAATAACCTAATTAAAATGGAATTGATTACCACACAATGCTGAATATTCCCTGCAAAGACAGAACTGTAAGAGGCCTGGCATTAAAACTCTGAACATAAACCCCTAAATTCCAGTTGATGTGATGTCTATCTACCCATTCTATCTCACCTTCCTAGAACTATAAATTGGATTGGATCAGTACCGAAGCAGACCCATATAAATCCTAGAAAAAGCAACTCACCTGGAGTGTTTCTTCAATGTGAGTAACATCTCCTCCAGAGCAGCTACGTACTAAGAAAAAAATAAAAGGGCACATTTTGAATAACTGTAGCATAAATCTGTCAAATGTGGTCTTCTAGTCTCCAGTAAAGCAAGGCAAGCCCAAAATTGTGAGAGAATTTCTAGAAGCCTGGCACTCTGATAAATTAATAGACATCAATCAAATCAATAGACACATAGACTTAAACAATATCTACCTATGCAAAAGAGACAATCAACAACCCAAAAAGGGAACAAACACCTTCCCACCAGCAATCAGCACCCAAATAAGCATAGATTAACTCCAAGATTAACATCAGACCAACAATCAAGTGAACAACACCCCAATCAAGGAACTACCAAACAAGCCAACAGTAAACAACCCAACCAACGAATCTCTAAGACCAGCCCCACCAACACTGACAGGGCAAAACACTAGAATATAAACTGAGAGTAAACCCCACTCCTTACTAGCACTGATGATGTTACCTAGTTTGGTTAATGAAATGTCTGCAAGAAAATAACAAGCTAGAGAGCACAGAGGACCACCTGAGCTACAAATATTTTCCTTTATTGGTTCCAGGAATACATTAAAGCAGTTCTTCTTAACCCTGGCAACTTTAAGATGGGTGGACTTCAGCTCCCAGAATTCCTCAGCTACAATACTGGGAGTTGAATTCCACCCATCTTAAAATTGCTGGTTGAGACTTCCGGTTTTGCGCCCACAGCGCATGGCTATGCAACAGCGGATCTCCGCTCCCCACAGCTAGTTTCTTCCTGCTTGGGGGACCCTAGATGGGTCCGAAGTTGCCCCAGAGAGGTGACTGTGAAGGAGGGGCGGTCTGTTGATCACGATGCGACGGCAATCACTTCGTTTGATCTGGGGAAAACCCTTCGAACCCGATAGGAGAAAATCTAGCCCAACGTCTAGCCCAAGTCTTGCAGCCGAAGTCCCAGAGCACGAACCTAAACATCGGTGAACAGTGTGCTTGGAATTGGTGAGAGTACTGATCTTCTTTCTTCTATCTACTATATAAATCCTTGAAAAGATCCCCAAAGCAAGAAAACCTCCAGAAGTGAAGGGAGGGGACTATATCCCCATTCCCTTACAGATGGAAGCGGTGAATTAATATTAAAGGAGGGAAGAAATATATTAAAATTTGATTTAAAAATATTTCAGTCTGGACAAATTTAGGAATTAAAAAACCGTGAAGATTATACCCTAATTTTTTTTGATGGAATTATAAAAACATATAACAAAAATAACCTTTTGACTGAAAGAAAAACTGAAAAAAGAAATAACTGCTGACATCTAGTGGAGACTCAGAGAATACAACACTAACAATAAGGACTCAGAAAGCGAACAAAAATTATAAAAATAGGATGTATGCTGAACTAATGAGATGATGGTTATGAGAATAATATAAGCTGAAAAAATGTTATATATATAATTATCATTTGTATAAATATAAAAAATGCTTATATCTAACCATTTATATATTGAAAATATTAAGAATTATATTTTGGCTAAGGTTGAAGAAGAATACAAACGGGAGAAGGGAAGATCAAAGAAATGTATCATTAATTAATATATTAATTATGGAATTATCAAATTTAATTATTGATTGTTAATTAATTATTGTCCTTTTTTCTTGTTAAAATATAAACCAAGACAACACGCTGTACACCAGGCACTGGAGATTGTTATAGTTAAAAAATAATATCTATAAAAAAATAAATAAAATTGCTGATTGAAAACTACTGCATTAAAGCATGAAAACTCAAAAGTAGCCTTGTGTCGCTGTCCGTTGTAGCATTACCTCCCAGGACTATAATGAGGGCAGAACAAAATGCAGCCTTAAGTGGGCAACTACTAATGTAGGGGTGGGGAACCTTGGCTCTTTTATGACTTGTGGACTTCAACTCCCAGAATTCCTGAGCCAGTCATGCTGGCTCAGGAATTCTGGGAGTTGAAGTCCACAAGCCATAAAAGAGCCAAGGTTCCCCACCCTTGTACTAGTTTGAAAGGATGCTTTTTAGATGAGAAACTTGGGCGGGCAGAATCTCTTACTCCTAAAGGACTGAAGCAATGCCAACCCTAATTAGTTTTCCAGAACTTGATATGCCTGAATTTGGCAGATAGATAAGGGGGAAAATGATAAATGAAAGCATATACCTCCCATTGTAATAGCAACCCCACCTTTTCCTCCAGCTCGCCACCCTCGGCCTTAGAGGCGAACAGGAATTTACACGTCTCCCCAAAAAGGAAAAAAAAAAAAAAGTAAGCCATGGGGCATCAAACCAAATGCCATACTGGCGCCAGTGATGTTTTTCTGAGGAGTGAGGAGAAAAAGGTATTGCCTGTAAAACAGAGGTAAGCTGTTCATAGCTAGATCCCTATTTGGAAGCTTCTTTGTAAAACTGAACATCTGCTTCCTTCCAAGGAATACATCAGAACACAGAAGCAACCCTTCCCCAGTTCTGGTAAAGCCATTGTGCTTCTCTCTGGCACTGGTGAATCTCCAGGAAAGAGAATCCTTTCTAACTGGAAGGAGGCCTATTTTAAAACTTCAGTCTTCAAACAATACAGGAGGCTGCAGGCAGTGTTGATAACACTGTGATGTTTTGAGTGCTCTATGACCAGAAATGGGTGTTTCTTCCTTCACAGAAGCTTTCCCACAAAATTCTTGGGGTGGGATCTCAGTGCACTTTCGGTCAGGTGAATCAAAGCTATAGAGGCCATCTTAACTTAGCTCCAGACTGCAATGACAAGAGAAGCCTGCAGATAGCCAAGAGGTGGCACTCATAGTGGCTACTCCCCAATGAATCTGGCCAAGGTTGGACCAGGAACTAGCATTCTTTTTCCAGCTATTAAGATTGATAGCGACTTCCCTTTAATTCCAGTTTTTGAAACTGACAAATTGCCTGTGAACAGAACATTCTGTCAATGTTAACAGCAGTCAGTAAGTTTTATCTACTAAGAATCTACAATATATATCACTTTTGTTTTAAAAGCCAACTGGAGTTCTGACTATATTCTACAAATTAGAAAAACTAAGGCTGCAATGCCAGCGTACAACATACTAATTCCTAATGCATTCAGCAGTTGTTTCTGAGTAAACAGTCATGGGATTTCTAGAGACGTAGTTCTCTTAGCACGCCACAGTAAAAATAACTAGGTCTTGGGTCACCTTAAAGTTGTATCAACTAACAAATACACAATCTATTTCATCAGATGTAAAGTGAAATTTATTGTATTATAATTCATAACAGCGTACACTATAATACATGTGTTTATTTTTAAAGTGCTGTAAGATTCTCAGTTTAAGAACATCAATCTGTAAAAAAACCAGGTTTTTTTTAAATGTAATTATTTAAAAACTACGTCCTAAGGAAGTATGATCAAAAATTATTCCCATAAACTAAGCATAGTTTGCTAATAACCAATCGTATATTTCCCATCAAATCCCTTCTCTGCATCAGAATGTGAAATGATACAATAACAAAACTGAATTCTCTTTTAGTCTCACAATTATGACACTATAATTTGACTGCTAGCATCTGATTTGGCTCTCAGTTAACCAATGACCTCATCAGAATAGAATAGAATAGAATAGAATAGAATAGAATGGAATGGAATGGAATAGAATAGAGCTGAAAGGGATCTTGGAGGTCTTCTAGTCCAGCCCCCTGCTCAAGCAGGAGAACTATACCATCTCAGACAGGTGATTGTCTAGTCTAGTCTCTTCTTAAAAATCTCCAGTGATGGAGCGCCCACGATTTCTGGAGGCAAGCTATTCCACTGGTTGATTGTTCTCACTGTCGGGAAGTTTCTCCTTAATTCCAGGTTGCTTCTCTCTTTGGTCAGTTTCCAACCATTATTTCTTGTCCTTCCCTCTGGTGCTCTGGTGAACAACATGACTCCCTCTTCCTTGTGGCAGCCCCTCAGATACTGGAATACTGCTATTATGTCTCCCCTATTTCTTGAGCATTTTCTTTAGACTAGCCAAACCCAAGTCCCGCAGCCGTTCTTTGTATGTTTTAGTCTCCAGGCCTTGGGTCATCTTAGTTGCACTTCTCTGAATTTTTCCCAAACTCTCAATATCTTTTTTGTGATATGGTGACCAAAATTGGCTGCAGTATTCCAGGTGTTTAGTTTCTGAGCAGGCTGCAAAAACTCTAAATCATGACATCTGAGTTTGTGTCAATGACAAATGAACTACATTAACAGGCTGTGGAATACCCAAGTATGTTATTATGCTTTAGGACATTTTTTTCCTTCTATGCTACATTTTGAAATAGAAATCAATATTTGAAAGGATTTAGGATTAAATATTAATAATAGAAAACAATGTGGCTCAGAATGTTCAAGAACCAACGCAAAACTGAACTTAAAAGGTTTCATTTACTCAATTTACTTCACTTGTTAGATGCTGGTTATGACTTTAAACTCCTTCATGGATTACTGCCTTGTCATGGCGAAGGGGCTTGCGTAACTCAATGAAGCTATGAGCTATGCCGTGCAGGGCCACCCAAGATGAACAGGTCATAGCAGAGAGTTCTGACAAAATGTGATCCACTGGAGAAGGAAATGGCAACCCACTCCAGTATCTTTGCCATGAAAACCCCATGAACAGTACCAAATAGGCAAAAAGATATGACGACTCCAGAAGATGGTAGAGGACAGGAAGGCCTGGAGTAATATTGTCCATGGGGTCGCGATGGGTCGAACACTACTTCGTAACTAACAACAAAATGACTTTAAAGCCATACATGACATGGGGCCAGATAACCTATGGATCCGTCTTTGTCCCATTACATTAGCCTGTCCCACCCAGTCAAGCAGAGAAAGTATGTTGTGTACCCCGTCAGCCAAAGAATTCCAACATGTGAGGCCTAGGACAAGGGTCCCCAACCCCCTGGCCATGACCCACTTGAGCCCTTCGGAACCAGATCGCAGAAGTGCCAGGCAAGGGCGCGGGTGCATTGCCTCGCCCACCACCCACCTGTGCACAAAGCCGAAAAGGTTGGGGAACTCTGGTCTAGGAAGAGAGTCTTCTCTATTTAACCACTGTCATGTGGGACATTGGCGCACCCAAATGTGAGGTGGGCCCCCACTCTCCTGGCCTTTCAGAAAGGTGCAAAAATATGGCTCTGCGGCCTTGATTGGGATGCAGAGGAGCATGCAGTCATATGGCTGTTTATCGCCCTGAAAGCCCTCCCTCCGCCTTTTAATTAATTTTTAACACTGAATTTTAATCATCTTTGCCTCTGTTAAATTTTTCGTTTTATATACTCCTTTTATGTTTTAAGATTTTACTTGTACACTGCCCAGAATTCCTCTGTGAGGGAGATGGGCGGTTTCAGAAGTTGATAAATAAAAATAAATTAAGGGTATTTCTTCCGTTACTTGTAGGGAAACAAATGATGGTCAGTTGATCATTCCATTCCAAGCAGTCAGTATTAAAATTATGCTTTGACAATGTGATGCCTTTATCTGGTTGTTTTCTCTTTCTATTTTCAGCCTGTCTTTAGACTGTGTGGCAGAAATTGTCTGGCTTTTAATCAATTTGGCATAAGCCATGTTCAGAGCCTTTTTCAGTGAAAAAAAGTTTAAAAGGCTTTCCTAAATGATAACAATACATTGGCATGTTTACATTTACATGTTCCAAGATGAATTTAATTAAGAGAATGTCTTTTGGCACTGACTATCCTAAAGCTTTATAGCAGGTATCTGAATGGGTGTTGCCAATCCAAGCCAAGATTTGCACCACCCTTAGTGGACTCCATGACGTGGCAACATGATATTGGAAAAGGCTCATTTCCTCCCATCTCTTTCATCACAAAATAACAGACTGGTTATCAGTTGTATGTTGGACAGAGGGAGACACCCAGTGGAGATTGGCAGTCTAACCATCATATATCATGCACAATTGATATCAGTTTATAGATGTTCATATATCTCATGAATATTCATGAGAAAAAGGAAGGAAGGAAGGAAGGAAGGAAGGAAGGAAGGAAGGAAGGAAGGAAGGAAGGAAGGAAACATACCAAAGAAGTGACTTCTTATAATGAAAATTTACTGCCACATTATACTGAATCTGCTGGGAAAATTAATGCACTTTATGGGTATTAACATTTCATTTAAACATATTTCTTCTACAAATCCTCTGTAATTTGCTATCCTTTTTTCTTTGGGAAATAATCCTTTTGTACTAAAGAGCTCTAAGGCCTCAAAACATAACACCAAGCAGAATAGCAGCAATAGGACAAGTACAGCATGCTACCATAGTATTAAGGGGGCAACAGCTTTTCAGAACATTTAACAACATAATACATGCAACCCTACTGTGTCATGTACATGAACACTCATTATTTATTACCCATTATTTTAAATTATTTGCTCAATGCACTTACTTCCAACTGAATCATGTGCATCTACAATGGGTTACCATGTCTTAAATACTGACCCATTCATATAACATACTGTGGTTCCTTGGCTCAGCATTTTATGTGAACTCAGGTTTGTTTAACTATAATTTATTGGATGAATAAAAAGAGTAACAGTGTTGAAAGAGACATTGAAGGTCCAACCCCCTGCTCAAGCAGGAGACCCTATACCAGGGGTAGGCAACCTTGGCTCTTCTATGACTCATGGACTTCAACTCCCAGAATTCCTGAGCCAGCATGGCTCAGCTTGGAAACCTCTCCCTTTGCCCTCAGCATGGCTGGCTCAGGAATTTGGGAGTTGAAGTCCATGAGTCATAAAAGAGTCAGGGTTGCCTACCCCTGCTAAAACTCTCCAGTGATAGAGAACCCACAACTTCTGGAGGCAAGACATTCCACTGATTGTTTTCACTGTCAGAAAATTTATCCTTAATTCTAGGTTGGATCTCTCCTTGATAAGTTATCATCCCTTACTTCTTGTCTTGCCCTCAGGTGTTTTGAGGAATAGCCGGCCCTTTCTTCTTTGCCCTCTCTTCTTTGCAACAGTCCCTTAGATATTGGAAGGTTGCTATCTTGTCACCCCTAATCCTTCTTTAGACTAGACAGTCAGTTCCTGCAACATTTCAAATGTTTTAGTCTCCATCCCCTTAAACATCTTTGTTGCTCGTTTGTATTCTTTGTAGAGTTTCAACATCTTTTTTGTATCACGATGGCCAAAACTGGACTGAAAAACTAGACTCTATAACAGGGTTTCCACTGACCTAGCTTACACTGTATTAAACCAAAATAGTATTTGTTTGAGCTTAGTGTGCTATGCAAACAAGCACTGTGGTTGGTAACCCAAGATGTGAATCAAATTGTAGTTTATACAATGCAAATCATGCATTAATGCAGTATGCGAGTGCAGTCCCTGCAGGTTGGGCTAAAACAAGAGTGGCTTCCAACATTAGCAGCAACCCACGCAGCACCTAGCCTAATTTTAAAACAGCTAAGTAATATCAGATGGAGTATTTGGATGGGAAACCAGGATATTCCACAGCTGCAGTTAGATTGGGAAGTTAAGAAAAAAAAAAAAACTGGAAGAAGCCGGTGGCAAACTGCTTCAAAGGCTCGGCCAAACCCTAACGCGGGGTGTCCACGTAATCGCTAGGAAACCCCTCTGATTTGGCTTTATGTTGGGAGAGCCCTGCCAGAGACTGCCGAACGTTGCAAATGCAAACATTCTGCCATAAAATAATACAATGGTACGGGACGGTTCCTTATTTAAAAGCAAATGATGCATTTATTTAATAGCATAAGTCGCGATTCAGTTGAACAGGGCAGGCCGGCCGGCCGGCCACTGAGTGCTACCATGCAGAGCAAAAAATACAACCCTTGTCAAATCTCTGCCTGTGCCTGTCATTCCGCCCCCCCCCCTCCGGACCTTCTCCAACCGCCACTCGTCCGGATTTCGTTTATCGGCCGCCATCGCCTCACAACGGCTCAACAGTCGGACCAGCTTCAGCTCTGCACGCGGTACCGGCATCGAACCCAGCCCAGCCTCCATGGTCACCGTCTTCATCGCTTTCGCCTGACCCGGATTGAAAGAACCGTCAACGCTTCACTATTTCCCGTTGAACCCAGTAGCCCCTCTGGCCTCCTCTATGCTCCGGGGGGGGGGGAACTGTAGCGGAAGCGGGTTGTATTGCGCGCGCAGCTTCGGCTTTCCTCTTCCGGCGGGGCCTTTGCGGCAGAACTAAGGGAGGTGAGTTCTTTCGCTTGGGGATGGAAGGTTTTGGAGGATCGGGGTCCATCCGTTAGCGCGGAAGCAGTCGAGGAGGCCTGGACGTGCCAGGCGGGCTAAAGGAAGGAGGGTTGTCTAGGCCCGGATCTGGCTGGGGGGCAAAAGACGTGTCACAAAAGAGCCTTAGCGATGGCTGTCGGGTCTAGGAAAAGTCTAGGCGTTTAAGGCACGAGGGACTCGAATAGAATAAACGGCTCCTGATTCGTTTCAGTTGGTAGATCTAAAAAAAAGTGCCTAACCGCGGGCATTGGAGGGAGACAACAGGATTCAGCGTGGCAGCAGGCACAATGATCGTATAGTAATTTATTTGGAAACTCATTCACATAAGTGGCGATTCCTTCCCCCAAGACCTGGAGTAGGCAACCTTGGCTCTTCTATGAGTCCTGGACTTCAACTCCCAGAATTCCTGAGCCAGCCAAGCTGGCTCAGGAATTCTGGGAGTTGAAGTCCAAGACTCATAAAAGAGCCAAGGTTGCCTACCCCTGCTATAGGGTCATCCAGGAAAAGATATATTGATATATGGAGCTGCAGACAGTTTACATTCCAAAGGACCTTGCCTTCAAATCTGAAATGCTGCCCATTCCTTGTAGGAAATTGAATTGGAAGCAGAGACGGATTTTTATTTATTAGATTTTTATCCTGCCTTTATTACTTTATAAGTAACTCAAAGCAGTGTACACGCTAATACTCCTTCCTCCTACTTTTCCCACAAAAACAACCCTGTGAGGGGTTCCAGGAAAAGAAAGTGGATCGGTTGTCTGGCATGAGTGGAAGAGCATGCTGACTCATCTCTTTGGATGACTGGGGGAACAAAAGAGTACACAACTAATCATAACTACTCCCTGCTCTTTTCTAGCCATGGCGATCCGATATCCAATGGCCGTTGGCCTGAACAAAGGCCACAAAGTGACCAAGAATATGTCTAAACCCCGTCACTGTCGACGTCGTGGGGTAAGTGTGGACTTTGGAGCAGGTGGGAGAAGAGTCATGAAGTAGCGCAGCAGTCGCCAACCTTTCTAGCTCTATGGACTGGCAGCAGCGGGGGAGGGAGGGGACGGTTTTGTGCGTGCAACCTAATTCCTGCACACGTGCAAATAAAGGTGTTGCATGCTTGCCCGCTACTTGTGTGGCCTGGTTCCCAATGGGCCATGGATCGCTCTCAGTCTGCGGCCTGGGGATTGGGGACCCCTAAAGTAGCAGACTCTGCAAGCCCTCCTTATTCCTGATTCTGAATCACTTTAAGATATGGGAACAGTTCTTTGGGTTTGACCTTATTTGAATCTATGAAAAAATAAATGGCTAACAAGATTCTAATACAGCGGTTCTCAACCTTTTTATACGGCGACCCCCGGTCACACGGACGCGGCACGCATGCGCGGCGGCGGCCCCATGCGTGGCGCGCATGCGCGACGCCGCCCCCTGAGGGGAAAAAATGGCGGATCGCGTTGTTTGGCGACCCCCGTAAAATGGCGACCCATAGGTTGAGAACCGCTGTTCTACTAGAAAAGGGCTGTGGCTTGCACTTAGGTTCTCATTCAGTCCCCAGCATCTTCAGCAAAAAAAGGGTCTCGGGTACTAACAAATAAATGAAAGATGGTTTCAGTTGTTCAAGAGCTTAGTGAAGTTTTCTCGGAGTAGACAGCCCCGGACAAAATGGGCAGTCTGATCTGTTTCAAGACAATTTGCAAATGAAGATGGGAGTAGTTTTTCTAAACCAGGGGTGTCAAACTCGCCACGTAACATGTGACTTTTTTCCCATTGCAAGAGCTGGGATGGGTGGTGGTTTCGGCAGGATGCATCCAGCCCGCGGGCCGGCAGTTTGACAGCCCTGTTCTAAAGGAAGGTAATGGATTTCAGGGTCACACATTCCAATATTGGATTAAGAAGTGCCCTCTTCAAAATCCATGCAGATAGTTCTCACTCAGTGACCACTCATTCAGCAGCTGTACAGAGTTAACAGCACTGAATAAGGGGTCCTTAAAGTTGAACCATTGCCACGATCGTGTAATCATTATTTGGGCGCTTTTCTATGGAGATTCTCAATCATCCAGGGTCATGGTTGTCCCAAAGATGCTTTTCCAAAAGGCAAGTCCTCAAGAAACTCCCATTGCCTTTGGGACAATTTGGGCACTTGATTAACCAGCTTTCACTGACAGTAGTTGCAGGGTCCAACAGTCTTGGATTGCCATTTGCAACCTTCTCCGTTGGCTTCCCACAAGCAAAGTCAATGGGAAACCAGCAGGGAAGGTTATAAATCCCTCCCATAAGTCACTTCTGTTCTCACCATTTTTTTCTCCCACATTTGCACCCTGCGGCAGCCCCCACCTACCCTCCGTGGCGTTCACCCCTCCACCAGCTGGTTTGCAAGCCGTCTAAGAAAGTAAACAATGTGATTAGGACCACCGACTTTGCTTATTGAAAGCTGGAAGGAAGTTGCAAGTCCTGTTCATGTGAATCCTTGCTTACTGACCTGTGATCAATGCTTAACGATAGCAGTGGGAGCTGTTGGGATTGCTATTATTAAGTGATGCTGTTGTGTGATGTGCTTTATGACTGGATCACATAACAACAGAAATTCCAGGAACAGTGGTTAAGTGAGGACTCCTATACTCTTCTTTAAGGAGGTTGAAAGTGCGAGCCAGCAAAAAAACCCAGCTTTCATTGTATTAAACAGTGGGAGATTGTTTGAATGAGATGCTTCAGTGAATCAGATTAGGATTCTCGAATTGAAATACAAAACAGCAATTTCATGGAATGACAAGGCTGTTGGGGCTCAAAGCCAAGGGGGTGTTCAATACAAGACAGAGATGGGGAATAAGCTCTAAAATCCAAACTCTTTTCTTGACCTTCCTGAAGAGCTAAGTTTTCCATGTTCTTCAATATATAGCAAAGAAGAAACTCTGTACCAGTGTTTTGCCTCAAGAGAAAATTGTGTCACAGAAAGATAATGCAATGCACGTTCCCGGACGTACTCCTTGTCTGAGAAGCCGAATATAAGACAGTAGAGCAAGACCCCAAGAACACAAATATCTTTTTTTAAACTATCAATTCTGGCGCAGTGGAGCACACTGCAACTTTTCATTCCACATGCTGCTCACATTCAGTCTTTATGTCTGTAGGATCAGCTACTTAATACAGCATTTCACTCACCAGACACACATTGATTTTTCCTGTTTCATCATCACTGGTCATCGTGCAACACTTGGAAAAAAAAGGGTGTGGATTTGCATGGAGCCACCGGCATTCAGTCAAGGCAGCAGGGAATGAAAAGAATTAGTCCTTACTCTCAATTGCTCCCAATTCTCTTCATCAAGAATATCTGTCCTTAATAAAGATAATAGTTAATGGTTAGGCACTCATGTGATCCCCTTGGAAACCATGTTACCTGGTGTAAAGCATTATTTCTCAATTTTGACTACTTGAAGTGTGGACCAACTCCTTGTGCTGGCTGGGGAATTCTGGGAGTTGAAGTCCACCCCTCTTCAAGTCGCCAAGGTTGACAAACACTTGTTTTGAACAGTGGCCCCCAACCTTTATGGCCTGGTGGGGGAGGGGAATTGGCCCCCACAAGTAGAGGGCCAGTGCACATGTGCATGGCGGCCTGCCGTTTGCGCAAATTGAGCTGCGCACATGTGCATCAGCCCACCACTTACGCAGGTTGAGCTGCGGCATGCACGCCGTCCTGCCACTGAGGCAAATCAAGCACGCCAGCCCGCTGCTGACACAAGTCGAGCTGCGCGCGTGTGCACCAGCCACACGGCTCAGTTCCGAACAGGCCACAACCTGGTAGTGGGCTGCTGCTGGGAGGTTGGGGACCCCTGGTGTAGAAGAATGTATATCACTCAAGATTTGTTCTTCCAATGCTTTCTTGAAGGATGTATTGCAGCATCTTACATTGCTATCCCAGCAATTCGGAGCAGTCTGTCACAATACATCTGGGTGAAGAGTCTGCCTAGGACAGGAGGCCTCTGACTTACCTCCTCGGTTGTTATTTTCTCATTGTTGTAGATCATAATCTCCTAAAGAGTAGAAACATCACCATATTGCCTAGTCTTCCTATCCTGATGCTACCTTGGAATTCTGAAAGTTGTATATCTGGATGGTACCACCTTAGGGAAGGCTTTAAAGACATGCTTCTATGTCTATACGTGCTCAAAATAGAAGGCCCTTATGTGGGAACTTTTCTTTTTAAAAACCAGTGCCTCCTCCCTATGGAAATCTGTTGCACTGTTTTGTTTTGTTTTTTCTCCAAACAGCGGCTGACCAAACACACCAAATTTGTGCGGGACATGATCCGGGAAGTGTGTGGTTTTGCACCATATGAGAGACGAGCGATGGAGTTGCTCAAAGTCTCCAAAGACAAGAGAGCTCTGAAGTTCATAAAGAAAAGAGTGAGTGTGGCACAGAGCAGATGGTGGGTGATTGGGAGCCTGTAAGGTTGTCCATTAAGGGCAGAACCAAGAACCATCAGAGGAAGGTGCTTCCTTTGTGTTGTGTGGGATGTTGTGTTCCTGCCCTCTTTGATTCATTGCCACCGTGAATAGAGCAACAGGAAGGAGTGGTCACACCACACAGTTCCAGTTGAGATAGGAGCCCATTTGCCCCTTTGTAGTTAAGATCAGCCTGGCCAGTCTCAGTGCTATGAAGCGAAGCAGCATCAAGAACCATTGTCCCTTGGATGGCACCACTAAAAATTGCCATGGCTGTTGAGCAAAGAATCCCAGAATTTTAGACATTGCCAACTTATTTGTATTGCTGTTGAGAAAACTGCAGGGATGTGTCCGTTTAAGTCACAGGAAGTTGAGCTTGATTCAAGATTTCCTTGATTCAAAAATAGCTGAGAGCTGGCAGCTGTTGTAAAAGTGGCTGGGAGGCAATCC